TACCATATGTATGTATGTATGTATATATATATATATGTATATATATATGTATGTGTATATATATATATATATACATATATATATATATATATTGTATATGACAAAGAATCCTAGTACTCGCTTCGACCTTATCGGGTTTCAACAGCTTCATGCAAGGATCCTGTTGAAGCTTTGTTTACGAATCGAAAGCTCGAAGCAGCTGCCAAAAGAGCCGAGCTCAGAGCTACATCTCGGTTGGGCACCACACAACATGCAACATGCAACTGCTACTGCTTCCGAGCAAATTCAAGCTGATACCGACTGGTACCCATGTTTATGACTACTGAGTACTGTAGCGACGACTATAGTGAGTCAGTAGGCATCTGGTTGCAAAGCTTCAGGCTCAACACAGAGCGTGTTCACGTAGGCACCTGCTTTTCGGGGCCTGCAGCACTCTCAGCTAATGACGGGTTCTGGTTAGATGGTTCAGCCATGCACCCTGGCATCGGGTCTAAACGCGGGCTGGGGGCCTTCGTCCAATCAAGAAGTGCTCGCACGAACTCCACATGGAGTGGCGAGCCAAGCAACCTGTGATGAAAGATTCGGAAGCATGTCGAGACCGAGAGCTGTCGCTTAATGAGTTCTTTTTAAGAGGGATGCACCTGAACATGCATTTTGGTGCGGGTTTCTGGGGGCCAAGTTGCCTTGCTTTCGGGCGCCTGACGTGCTCAGAACTATGCTTGCAAAGAAAAGCCAACTACGGGGAGGACGGACCTGCTGATCTTTCGCGTCATTTCTCATTCTTCTGCTGACCATGCTATTCCTGCACTGCAAACACCACACCACAACCGTGGCTCCAAGCAAAGCAAAACCGTGCTTCTCCTGCTGCCAACCATAGAAGTACCATCCCCGTGGAGTCCCTCATACGACTACAGCATCATATACCCCTAAACCGTCTTCTGAGTGTTAAGGCCCCTAAAAGAAACAATGATGCTTACAAACAAAACCGCACAAAACCATACACAATTTTATTAGCCTCCGGTCAAGGCCCTTGTTTCTTATACTACGGTTCGACAAGACGTGTTTAAGGCGCGCACGGCAGGTCCCGAAGATTGACGTCCACGTCATAGACGAGGTGCCGGATGAGCTCCTGAGCTGCTGTGGCTTTTAGGGTTTAGGGTTTGGGGTGCTTACGGTTCAGGGCTTACGGTTTAGGGTTTCGACTTATCAACTTTGGGGGGTGTGCTGGGTTTTCGAATCTTGAGGCCCAAGGAACACGGCTGCGAACCAGTTTGAAAGCGGGTTTCTTACGATTGGGGCTTCTACTGGGATGATGCTTCCTAGATTGGCTGGTACCGAGACATGAAGCGAATAAAACTTGTGTGTCTGCACGATTACGTTGCTGCTCTTCGATTCTGCTACATTGCCACTTACATGGGTTTTTGGAAGCCTTTCGACTTGCACACCTTGGTCCCTGAGTTCCGAATTTCCTGACCTAAGCATGCTGCAAGCAGGATTCTTTCAAATTGCATCTGGGTAGTTCTCTGAAGTAGGGTCCCTCTTGAGGAAATCACAAGAAGGCGGCACCCCTACAAAAAGGACATTAGAATCACTGGCGGGGACCGTATATTTAGAGAACTACCTGTGTGTTAAGCATGAAGGACATTGGGAGCAAAGCTGCCATTGAAGACTATACATGCAGGCACTGCCATGCGATTGGAAACATTGTCCTCATGCCCACGAAACAGACTATGGGGGGGGTGCCGGCAATAAACATCCTCCATCGAGATGATGCCCTTACTTACTCTAGAAGTATACTCTGTTCAATCATGGGCTTGCCCGTCTCACGGCTGTTGCAAGTTGCGCATAGGGACCTGCACGGCATGCGCGGCCAAGGTTGCATCTGCCAAAAACAGCACTTCCCGTTATCCCTGACACCCCGAAGCGACATGAAACCGAAGCCGCTTGTACAGCTAAATGTCTTTCTGAGTTGGTGAGATAATAGAAGCTATTGAAGAATTGTCTCTTGCACGTGCTACTTCTATGAACTCTAAAGTGAACGACAAGAGGCCAGCCAGCAGGAGGCCATGTTCAGATGAGCCTGGATTGCGGAAGTTGCGGATCGTAGGAGTTTCAGCGCTCTTCCATCTGTAGAAAGGATTCAACGGGTGCCGTGCTGCTATTCATGTGAGTCGGAATTGAGTGACTTCAACCCAAGTGCTTAGGACGTATGTGCTGCGAGTGCCCAGATTTCCAGCGGCTGTGAGAGGTTAGAGCCTGTTTCTGTTTCCGAAGCCCCAGCTGTCTTCTGGTCTTGGCTCTGAATTTCGCTGGACATCCTGTCGTAAGTGGACTCTTGCAAGCTCTTGATGGAACGCCCTACTTCTTGCCAAAAGGATTGGCAATCATTTTACAACCAGCATCATTGCCACAGCTACGAAAAACAGCACGGCAACCACAGGAACTGCAGATGAGACCGACAAAAACGAAAAGGTTCAAGCATGGGTCTGATACATCTATAAGCCCCTAAGCACCCGTCCTCATCCCTGACCCCCGGAACACAAAAACCATCAATGAGAAACACACTGTCTTATCTGCGGCCAAAGGTCCACTGCGATGGGGCTCCTGGAGCTTGCAGGCTCAAGACAAGAGGCTCTGGAAGTCTTCTTTTCTGTAATAAAAACACGGGCCAAGTAATAACCAATACTATTTTTGGGTGTTCCCTATCTATACTTATAGAATAATGTCTTAAGTGTTGGCCCCTATAGTAGGCTACACATCACGCTAATCCAGATCCTCAAAGCCTGGCCTCAAACGACATTGACTGCATAACTGCAAATCTCCAGGAGCAAGCCCTCGCGAATGAGGCGGTCAGCGGCTCTTAATGCTTAGGGTCACCCTTTTGCTGGGCGCATGAGTCTGGCCAGATGAAGAACGGACGGTTCTGTTTCCAGACAACCCGAAGCAATACTCCGCAGCAGAGGGAGCCACCGATAAAATCCTCCACATACCCACTGCTAGATTCCGGAATTCTACTGCTGCTTCGGACTTCTGCTTCAGCTTGACCGGCGAAGCGAGAAGCAGTGGCAGGCTTCTTGTTAATTGCATCGGAGCAACAAAGGCAAGTCCCTTGGTCGTCGCTCTCGCGTGGTGCTCCTTGGCTCACACGGTGTTCCCGTGTGTCGATGGCTTCGCTTCCAATTGCTTGCAGGCTTAAGGCTTAAGCAGCCGCCCAGCATCCAGTGCACAATGCTTGACGCCGACCGCGCTAGGCCCCACACAAACTAGCTCTCGCAGGTATCACTTGCTCTTGCAGGGCCGGCAGACGCACTTACAAAAACTCAAGTGCATCTCGCCAAGATGTCATGAAAAGACCATTGAAGACGATACGGGAAGTGGTGGTTACGAACGTCCTGTTAAGGCAAGAGTCGTTCGCAGAAGTTGCCGAATGGCAGTGGTCGGATGGATAAGGCCTGTGCCGATGGGTTCGGGGGCATGGCTAACCAGGTTTGGACATGTGAAAGCACACTGTTACACGATCGCGCTTAGCGGTACAAGCCCGGCATAGCCAATCGCAGCCTATCTCCATACTCCAAAAAAACTGCATGTGGAAAAGCTTAAAACAAGTGTGTATGCATAAACATGAATTTGTATGGACATGGGTGTGTGTGTATATGTGTACATATATATATATATATATTTGGGTAAGTGTATACTTGTACGTATGCATAGGCTCGTGACGTACCTCTGCACGTGCACGTGCGCATAGGAATGTTTCACTACATGTCCATGTGTCACACATGGGTCACATGGGGGCCTAAACGGCCCTCCCTCATCCCCTTTTGCTTCCCTTTCGTGAACCACACGTCTGCTTAGAAGGGGGACTTATTATCCAAGAATGATACTATAGCCACAACAGGGTGCCTTCCACGATTCCTCCCGCGTCCCTTTCGCATGCACGTGTACATATCTTGGCCTTGCCCGTCACTATTGATGTCTTGTTGTGGGTGCTCACCTCAAAAGATGCCCAGACTGGCAAGTTGTGAGGTCTAGCCAATGCTTTACAACATAACAAGTATGCAAGCATTATGCAACGTGAACCAGGATAACTAAACATCAACCCCCAACCCCAGCAACACGCCCAGTCCCAGTGGTTCTGCCAACCAAGTCTCCCAACCCCTTTGCCCTGTCTCATGCCCACATGCTCCTGCCTGCAACAAAAGGCTTGGTAATCAGCGAATGCGAGCCACGTCCTCGAGCCAGACCACCGAGCAGCTCCATCGACTTCAGGTAATAGACCAGTTCCTGCTTCGACTGCCCTAGGGCCTTTGGGCATGCTTCCGAAAACGCGTGTAGCCTTTTCTCAGATAATAATAAGATTATGATTACCAATAATAATGACAATCTCATATGTGTATTGTGTACATAGTTTGAATGTTGTCGAAGGATACTGAGGACTCGGGTCTCTCAAGTTCGTATATCATGCAGAGCTGAGCTGACCGAAGCTAGAACCTCAAGAGCAGGCTGATCAGAGCTGGCGATGAAACATGAAACTACATACTGCAGCGTGCAGCTACATCGGGCCATGATACTCTTCTTGTTGAGGATCCTGATTTCCCCAGGCACCCACCGAGCCCTTATCCATGGATGAAGTACAGAAGCGATGACCAACCCTACCTTCAGTCGCTCTGGGGTTGAGGGCACACGCACACTTGGGTTTCGCCTTATAGGCTTCGTGCCTAAGACTTTGCAGCTGTTGTGCCCCGCATTCAAGCTGAGCCCAATTGAATAATTGAGCGCCCCACCCTAAACCCGATCTAAACCCTAAGCCCGGCCCTAAACCCCAGCCGACTACTAATGGAGCGAGCGCTGCGATGACGGGGCTCCTGGTCGTTCTCATTCAACTCCGTTGTGTCTTCGCCTCGCAGAACCGACTTCGCCTCGACATGCCCAAGTTCTGTAGACGAAGGCTGTTTCGGAGTTGTGTTATACATAAATATATATATATATATAGATGTGTGTGTGTGTGTACGTGCGTGTGTGCGTGCGTATACATACATTACATTACGTTACGTTGCATTACATTACATTACATTACATTACATTACATTACCTTACCTTTCCTTACCTTACCTTACCTTACCTTACCTTACCTTACGTTACATTACATTACATCACATTACATTACATTACATTACATTACATCACATTGCATTACAGGTGCAGACATGTACATACACATACATACATACATACATACATACATACATACATACATACATACATACATACGCACATACACATACACATACGTAACCATCCATCCATCCCTCCAGACATCCATGTATAATGTGTTACGTGCTCTACATGTCACATGTCCCAAGCCTTCGGCTCCCGCCTCAAAAAAGCTCCCAACGACTGTGCGGGGAAGTCCCGGGCTTAGAATTGAAACTGGTGGGGTGGCTTGGCCAAAGCACAAAGAGACTTGAGGGCCAGGGGCATGGAGAACGAAAGCTCGGTCTTTTTTTGCAGAAGGACTCAACGGCTACACACACGCAAACGCAAGAAGACATGGCTGCACTGCACAAACACTTC